GGGAAAAAGTGGAACTTGACCCAGGACTGCCTTTTTTGGCAGCATCCCTGTGTGTCTGATAATGCACAGTTCTGCCCTTAAAGTGGGCAACAATATTAATCAGGTATTAACTTGATTCTCTGATATATGAATTACATGTTACCTATTAGTGTGGGAAACTTTTTTAAAAGATGCACGCTGTCAATGAGGGTAGGTTCCATGAGATAATTCTGTTAATGCACAGAATCAGTGGTCTGAATACATCCTCATTTTGTCCCTTGTAAGAGGGTGAATTGTATAAACACCATCTATAATAACTGCTACATGATGATTGCCAGTACTAACTGGAATAAATAAATGACCATAATAAACACTTATAGTATAAGGGAATGTACTGTAAGGAAAAACACACACCAGTATTTTCTACTGTCTTTATGTAGATAAATACTACCTAGTGAAAATCAGTTCTTATGTCCAAATGTGTAGTTAAACTATAAGGCTATCTTGAATGGTGTTGACTTTAGGCCTAAATGTTTCATCTAATTCCTACCTTTCCAGCTGAATCAGGAGATGCACGGCGCTGCAACAGGAGTTTTGCTACATCTAGGCTTCCATATTTAGCTGCTACATGCAGTGGTGTGAATCCCTTCTGTAAAATGTCCAAATGGAAAATAACTGTATTTATATCTTATTGTTTGTTGTGCTCCTTCGCTTTAAAGAAATTCCACATCAATAAAGGAAAACAAACAACCAAACTAGAACCACACCAAGAACCATATCACTTTTTCCCACGTGGCTCGCATCCCGAAAATGAAATATGCAATCTCAACATAAAGCAAACAAGTGTACTTTCCGTGTATGCATTCAGACATTTCTGAGAGATTGTTCTCAGCAGCTGCCTTCACAGAACCCTTGACCATGCTGTTAGAGGATTTAGTGAGAAAATGTTTAAAGGGATGATCATGAAGAAACACATTAACACACACCTTATAATGAGTTCGATTAATGGTCTATCAAGGTCACTACTATCTACTCTACTGGTCTGTCAAGGTCACTATTATCTACTGGCCAGCAGTTCACCAGGGTCTCAGGTACAGGCCTTTCACATCACCTACTATCTTGATCCTTTTAAATGGGGGTTGCACCTTGGACCTGCTGCATGCAGAACATATGCTTTACTACTGAGTCGTGACCCGTCCCCTGAGTAAAGCACCATGCATGAATAAGTAACAGATTCCATTTAAACCATTATAATGTAAAATATTAAAGCTGGTTCAGTATTGGGAAATACTTCACATTTTACCTTGGTAGCCAAAGAGTGTGCAGCTCCCGCCTCTAAGAGAACAGATGCTACATCCACTTGACCTTCTCGGGCAGAGATGTGCAGCGCTGTATATCCATTAGTAGTGGCAGCATCTGGGTGGGCCATATGTTGCAGCAATAGCTGTACAATTTCTGTTTTACCAAGGCGGGAGGCAATATGCAGTGGAGTCTGTTCCTCCTACAACTCAAAGCAGGGAAGACATTAGAAAGGATTTTTTTTAAAAAACCCAAAAGACTGCTTCATTCTCTCCCATTTCAAGTAGCTGATCTACATGTGTGTTCAAAAAGACACATTCTCCCTCTCTCCTTCCCAATTCATTATTGCCATCACTGTCATCTGTCTGTCTATCTATCATCTAGTACTGCTCATATAGCGATAGCCTTGAGCAGAAAATAAATTATAAAATAATGCCTTAGTGTTATTCTTCTGTTTAATTATTGCCTCCATAAATTTTGCCACAGAGAGAGTAACAAAATCATTTATATCCGATAGTAACCACGTCACCTGTGCCCTCACACTGTCAGATGCCTCAAGTGGGGATTTCCTTATTTCTAAGTAAAGGAGTAATTAAACTAGCCCTCAGCTCATTAAATATAGGCCATTCCATAATCGTATTTTCAATTATTTTAATGTTATCATGTGAGCATCTACATGTTCTGCTTGAATATCGCACCTTTTTAGATCTACCCTCCAAAACCTCTCATGGAAGGGCATTCATTCTTGCCAGAGTAAAAGCTCTTCTGAGCTTTGGTATTGTCAAACAATAAAAATATGTTGGCAGTTGCATCAGGAGGGATATGCCTAAATAAGATGCTGAACATACCCTACAGGCCCTGACAGATGTACTAATAGTATTGAGTTTCTTTACATGCATTTTAATTAGCCTACTTATTTCTGTGGTCTTTGTAGTCTTTACCATATCATTTGTTATTCCTAAACATTTCATTTTCTTTTTCAATAGATGATCCCAATGGCTAATATGCGCACCTAATATACAAGTTGTAATTTAAAGTCGATTGGCACAGTCTCTAGACAATCGAAAACCAGAAAAAACTGTGACGATATGACACTAAACAATATTTCATTAAGAATCAAAATTATACAATATCAAGAAAAGTGAACAGTTATAATAGTAAGTATAGATGGTGGTCTCCAGAATGTCCTGCCGTTTCGATGATAAATCTTCTTCTGAACAAAGATGAGTAACATGTACTGTCTCTCAACAATTCATTTCCTCTGGTGACGTATCAAAATTTCAGTCATGACGTATCAAAATTTCAATCATGATAGCTGTAGTTTCTAGAAGAGCCTTCCATGTGCTATTGGCATTGTAAGATGCTGAACATACCCTACAGGCCCTGACAGATGTACTATTAGTATTGAGTTTCTTTACATGCATTTTAATTAGCCTACTTATTTCTGTGGTCTCTGTAGTCTTTACCATATCATTTGTTATTCCTAAACATTTCATTTTCTTTTTCAATAGATGATCCCAATGGCTAATATGCACATCTGCCTATACAAGTCCGAACAGAGTAGATCCGCCCTTGGATTTTAAGATTTTAACTCTCAGAGGAATGCTTTTATCCATGCCTTAGCCCCAATCACTGTCATCAACATTTAGCATACATAGATATCCCACTGCTTTTATGGCACAGTGCAAATACCAAGAAGGATAGACTTCAGAACATTTAAAAACCTACCCTTGCTCGGGCATCAACCAAAGCACCATTTCTTAGGAGGCAGCGGACCACTTCCACTTGTCCTGCTCGAGCCGCCATGTGCAATGCAGTCTCCCCTCGCTACATTAAAAAAATATGTTCTTAATTTTTTTCAGATCAGTTAAATGAAAATGGAATTAGATTGTTTGCATTTCTCAGAGTCTGAAAGAATGTTATCATAATGTCCACCCTAAATACTGAATAATAACTTTTTAAAAAGTTAGTTTGTACAGTTGGAATGAACCACACTCATTACTCTGAAGGCCATAGCTGAGCATCTTCCAGAGAGCTGTACATCAAGAAGTAAAATGTGGTACCAGTCAATTGAGATCACTGAGATTACTGCATGAATTCACAACTTCACCATGCTGCTAATGTTGCTCACTATCATTATCATGGTGCCCAGGAGGAAAGCTATGTGTGTTTGCTTATTAATCTAAAATGTAACATGAGCATAGTCCCATGTTTAGACTTTCAGAAAAATACCCTCTGGTTGAAGCTGATTAAATTTATTTCAAATCAGCTACCATTTTGACCTATAAGTAACAGATGAAAGCTCTCTGCCTTATTTGGTGACTACAAATCTTATTATAGTCTAAGTAACACTTTCATTTCAGTTATTCCAGTTACCATCAGAAAGGATACATTTCATTTTCCTGACCATTCAGATTGAATTTAATCACAGAATATAATTAGTGATTCAACTGCCAGTTTTAAGTGTTACCAAAAGCCCCTGCTTCACACAGAAAATAGCACAGTGTTAACAGTTCTAATTGCCCATCTTTGGTACTCTGTCTTACTACTTTTTCCACATTTCTGTTTCATTATTTTATCCACAAGTTTCATCAAAACAAACTGTAGGAAACTACTCATATGATCCTGTACCTTTCTCATACAAAGATTCCAAACTATTTCTACCCAATATGTTTTGAGACACTGTCAGGAGATCGTTTTAGACAAATGGCTTTATGGTAGATGGGTAATGGAGATTTTTTTTTCATTGTGAGATTTATACTGAACACAGGGGAGACTTAATTATGGCACCTTTGGACAACTTACTCAATTCTGATCATGTAGTAAAAATAATTTATTATTAATCAACAGAACCATGCTATGTTCAAGGTTTCGAGATTTGCAGCAGTCACATATCAACTGAAGGCTAAAGTTATGTAATAAATGCTGTTAACTATAAAAATGTGTGTTTATATCAAAATTTGCTATTAAAGAGATTGTACATACATATACTTTGCATGCAGTTTTATTTAGTTCTTGTTTATACTTCCCTGTGATGTTGCTGAAGTCTTGTAAAAGCCTAACTAGTTGAACAGTTAATCTCAACCTACTGTTATGTTTTTTTTGTTATTTATCCAGGTATAATTTGTTAGAGTGGCAAATTATTGATGGGTAGTTGTGTTAGTCCTTAGCAGTAAAAACAAACAGATCTTATGGTGACTTAAAGACTAATGTTTTATTATTAATGCTTTATTTCTGCACATATTTTTGTGGACTAGCACCTGCATGTTTTGTGGAATAGCACTATTCTGCAGATATATAAAAATGTGCGTGTGTGTGTGTATACACAAACATATATATATGTACACACACAGAGTGACACACACACACATATACACACATACAATAAAATGTCATATGTAGTTGAAATTATTAGTCAAGGGAAACATCCAAATTCCCGAATTAGTATTTCCCTTTAAACTTGTCTGCTTTAGCTTTCTTTCACAGATGCATGCCGTAATTCTAGGGCCTTACTAAGAAGTAAATTCCACTGAAATCAGTAGAGATGCCTTTTCAGTCAATATGCCTAAGACTGGGCTATAAAGACTACTGAACCAGTACAATGCACCATGTTAGATATAGCCCGGGGAAACCCAGGCTCAGATCCCCACTAAGCAGTGAAGCTCACTGGGGGACCTTGGCTCAAACGCCCTCTTTCAGAATAACCAACCTCACAGACTGTAGTGACCGTATAATGGGGAGAAGAGAGCCATACATGCTATCCTAAGCTCCTTGGAGTAAGGGTGCAATAAAAATACAACTGACTGATAATTGTTCTTTAAAATGTCCACACATTTTCTAATGTTTTATTTGAAAACTGTTTATGATAACTTCAGAGGGTAGCCATGTTGATATGCAGTACAACAGCTAGATTTAAATTCAGTAGCAACGCAGAGATCAACAAGATTTTCGAGATGAACTTCCGAGCATCAAAGCTCCCTTTGTCACGTATCGGAAAAAGGGAGCTTTGACTCTCAAAAACTTATACCCCCCAAATTTTGTTGGTCTCTAAGGTGCTACATGACTCAAATCTATCTTTTCTGTTTATGGTAACTATCTCTCTATATAATAATTCTGTTTTGGTCATGGACTCTCCTGAACATTCCACAGGCTCCCAAATCAGTTCACTCCCTCATCTGTCACTCAGAAGCTGTCCCTATCCACTGGCTGCATTGCCTGAGTCTCACCTCCAATATTCTAAACAGTTTGCTGTTCCTCTCCCCCCAGTAGCCAGTCAGAACACAGAGGTCATCTGCATATGTGGCCTGATTGGCCTTTGCCTCTAACATTCTAAACAGTTGGTTGTTGCTGTGGGGAGTCATTGAATGTGTTCCGAGGTAAAATACATATCCCAATTTCCCCTCAAACGGTCACTGGAGTTGCCAAAATACATATCCCAATCTTCCCTTAAACGGTCACTGGAGTTGCTAATCTCCCTGTGGAGCCTGGAGATCTCCCAGAAATCACCGTGTTCCCCAGCCACAGCACATCATTTCCCCTACAGAAAATTTCCCAGCTATCACCATGGCTGCTTTGGGCAGTGGACTCTATGGCATTATACCCTGCTGAAGTCCTTCCACATCCCAAACCCTGCCCTCCCCAGGCTCTACCCCTCAAATCTACAGGTCTGGCCCTCCCCTTAGTATTGCCAGACTCCAGGCATCACCTGGAGATCTCCAAGATCAGTTCTCCTGGAGAAAATGGCTGCTTTGGGCAATGGACTCTATGTAATTGTACCCTGCTGAGGTCCCTCTGCACTGCAAACCCTGCCCTCCCCAGGCTCTACCCCTCAAATCTACAGGTACTGCCCAACCCAGAGTTGGCAACCCTGTAACTGGCTATGGAACCGCTTTCCAGACCCTTGGAACCCAAAAGACATGGCATAGGAGGAGATGCGGAGGGAACCATACCTGTTACCATGAGGCTGTCCTCCCATACTACCCACTTGGGGCAGCAAAATGACTGGAGACAGCCCTGCCTTACAGCTAAGCAGAAGGAAATAAACATGGCTTGCCTCCCTCTATTTTCCCCTTCCCTCTGCCGCCCCACCAGCCATAGTCGGGACACTCACATGGAGCTTCCTTCTAGAGCTTGTTGTATTTCTTCCCACAACGGGCCTTACTCCTAGTATCCCATAATACTGAAGCACACAAGAACTTATTTCCACAGCAAATTAGGCTTGCCAGTACCTTGCAAAGGTCTCATTTTTATCAATTCAAATTTTAAAATAGTATTTAAAACATGTTTTTCTCTAAAAAGTCAAATATTTATTTTTATTTTATGCCTATTTATAAAGTCAGAAGACTGAGTTATAGGAAAGTTCATATAATAACGCTATGAAATGTAACCTTTGCTTAAGCTTCATGGCAACTCACAATGATTACTCAAATTCAAGCCATACTCACAATGTTAGTGACATCTGGAGAGGCTCCATTCTGCAGCAGAAGGAGAACTATGTTCAAATGGCCCATAAATGCAGCCACGTGTATTGGTGTGAGGCCCGACTGTGAAATAGATTGACAGCAATTTTACTCCTCTGCAGATCGCGGGGGGTGGGGTGGGGGTTCTTCCTCATTAATATAACATGAGAGTGGAAATTTAAGAGAAGGAGGAAATAGTGGGGAAAAGATGCTTCAGGAAATTTCTCTACCTCTGTTATAGCTTGGATTGAAGCCCCGTATTTCACCAGCAGTTCCATGACTTTAATGCGATTTTTCTTGCAAGCAATGTGCAGTGGAGTAAAACCATTCTGTGCAAAAGACAATCATGTTAGATAAAGCATGCAAATGCAATGGTCATACAGTGTTAGATTACCAATTTTCTTCAGTAGCAGCAGGTTCTGCCATAATGAAAAACAGCGACTAACATCTTAGCCCAACAGAGAACACAGACTTCTGAGGGGCGGACAAAATATTTCCCAATGAGTTTAGTGTGTGTGTGTGTGTGTGTGAAAATAGCAATATCATAAGTGAGGTGCCCTTAAATCAAATGCTCAGCAGCATCTGAAACTCTTCAGTGTGGTGAAATCCTATACTGCGAGGGTGCAAGGGACCAACATGACTAGGGATGTGTGTTCAGATCTATCCAAGTTGAAAATATACCTGAAAAAATACCTTATTAGTATTTCGCACGTATGTTTCAGAATCTCAACAGTATCCAATTTTTTTCCAGGAAAACTGGGGGGGGGGGATTCCTGAAAAATTCCTGGATATATTCAGGAATCCTGGGTAACTCCGAAAAAGAGTGGAGAGGTTGGAGCAGATTGTTGCCACCTCTTAACTATTTATTGGCTTTCTACTGCAGTCCCTTTAAAGTTTAAAGAGACTACAGAAGACAGCCCAAGGATCAGCTATGCTTATGGGGAGCACATGCTCCCTGCCAGCTCAGCTTGGGGCTGGCTTCTCCTGCAGCCTGATTTAAACTGGGCTGTATGAGAAGCCAGGCCCAGGATAGGGACAGATTTTTTTTAACCGGTTTTTTCTTCTCAGATCTATTGGACCAATAAATAAATAAATAAATAAATCATGATTTCTGAAAAATCCCAGATCCAAATACTGTACTGGGATTTTTTGGGCATCCCAAAAAATTTTCAGGTTTAATAGACCCGAACAGAAAAATACAGGTAAAATATATTGCACACCCCTAAACCCAACCACGTTGGAGGGGGTGACCTCATAGGGCTTTCTCATGGGAGAAGGACTACCTGCTGCACAGGATTACACCTCACTGAAGTAGCTTCCGAGCTACTGAGCATGTGTGTTAAAGGCATTCTTGAAGCCTTGTCGCGATGCCACCAGCCTACCTAAGGGACCGCCTTTCCCCGCATGTTCCCCCAAGGGCACTACGGTCAGGGAGCCAAAACCTCCTGGATATTCCAGGCCCCAAGACCATCAAGCTTGCTGTGACCAGGGCTATGGCATTTTCGGTGGCGGCTCCTACCTGGTGGAATGAGCTCCCAGAAGAGATCCGGGCCCTGCGGGACCTTGTACAGTTCCGTAGGGCCTGTAAAACGGAGCTCTTCCACCAGGCTTTCAAGTAGGAAATTCGATCAATGCCTTTCCATCACCGCACTCTACCACCGCGGGTGCAGGTCGTCCCTAGTGGATGACAGGGTTGTGGGGACATATATCGCTGTTGTGGTTCAGTTATAACATCTTTAGAACACCACCTTGGTTGTATGATTCAGGGTGAGTATTTGGAGCACTGATTTTATTTTTACCAATTTTAATTAATTGTAGTACTATGTATTATTGTATTTTATATTGTTTTATTGTTATAATCTGGATTTTTTATGCCCTTGTTAGCCGCCCTGAGCCTTCGGGGAGGGCGGGATAGAAATCCAAAGAATAAATAAAAATAAATAAAAATTTTACAACAAGCAGTTTAATTACTTTTCTACTCATTCTTGATCAGAAATGTAAATTTTCTTTATATAAAGTCCATTTTTGTGTTCTACATCTTAAAAACACAACTAATAATATAGATGGAATTAGAGATGGCCACATATCACACGAAGATGCCATTGTTCAGTTAAATACTAAGAGATTTCAGTCATAAACATAAAGACATTTAGAAATCTAAAACACTAACTTCTAGAACTTCTAGAAATTCCAAGGTATCTGAAAATATATTAACATTGATTTAATATAATATTATCTAATAACAGTCACAAACTGTTTCAGGAATAGATGAAGATCAGTGATCCATTATAAAATGTTACAAAAATATTCAGCATTCACACAGACATTCTCTACAGAACTTATAAAATATCAGCGACTTTGTTATTTGAGTAAGAAAATGCATTTTCCTAAGAATAATATATTGTGATTATCTAGAAAAATGCAGTATTTCAGCAAGAGACATTCATTGCATGTTAAACTGATTTCACGGGAAAGCATAATTGAAACAGATGATAACCACCCATATAGAAATAGCTTACATCTATTTAAAACCAATCTCACAGTGAAAAATAAAATTGCAAATTAATTGGCTCAGACCTAGGACCAAATTAAATCACATTTTAATTTATTTATGTCTTCTTCTCTATCTCAGTAAATCATGTATGTTAGAAAATACTAGCATGATTCAACTTGATATCTCTAAACACCCACTTTGGCTCCTAACTGTCAAAAAAAGGCAGGGGGCATAATACCCAGTGTCTAAAAAGCCTCTGAATTTGAACTGTCCTATTGAGCTCCATGGACTTTAAAAAATGATAGATTTGGATGAACTGAAACAAACGACTAAACTTTTTCACAAGGTAACATTTGTGCTTACTGTACCTTATGCAGAAGATGGCCAAATCTGAGGCAAGTGAGAATAAAAGACATTGGAAGCTGAGTTGTATAAAGGCCTTTCTACTCCTATTTTGGGCCAAGTTCTTGAGGATAGTGTGTTCCCCAGCCTTGGTTAAGTGCGCGGACTCTAATCTGGGAGAACCGGGTTTGATTCCCCACTCCTCCACTTGCGCCTGCTGGATGACCTTGGGCAAGCCATAATTCTGGCACAGCTGTTCTTGAAAAAGAGCAGTTTCTGTCAGAGCTCTCTCAGCCCCACCTACCTCACAGAGTGTCTCTTGTGGGGAGGGGAAGGGAAAGGAGTTTGTAAGCCGCTCTGAGACTCCTTTGGGTAGTGAAGGGTAGGGTATAAATCCAATCTCTTCTCCTCTTCTTCTTGAAGTAGGGCTGCCAGCTCTAGTCTGGGAAATTATTGGAGATGTGGGGGCAGTGACAGGGAGAAGCTCAGCAAGGAAGCAATGCCATATAGTCAGCACTTCAAAGCTACCATTTGTTCCAGGGGAACTGATCTCTGTTGTCTGGATATCAACTCGAATTCCAGGAGAACTGTAGTCTCAACTGGAGGTTAGCACTGCTACCAGTGTGGAGAGCTTGTGGGACAGATCACAGGGAGTATCACAGCCCCTACCACTTAGAGGTGCTGAAGCAGAAGGGGTGCTCTGTCAGTAGGTGTTGGGGGTGACTACAGCTACTGAGTGGTTAGCAGAACCCGGCATAGGCATGGGATGATGACACCACTTGCTGGTCCCAGAGTCTGACAACTACAGTGTTACAAGCTGTGACCCTGGCAGCTTTGTTGTCACCTCCCAACACTTGTCAGTAAGAGCTCTGCCCCACTCCCCGCCAGTGGTGCACAGGGGTGTAGGCTGAGTTCTTCCCTGTGACCCATTCCATGAACCACTGCTGCTGCAAACTCAAGTACTTACAGTGTAAGTACCTATAGTCACTTACATTATTATAATTGAATCTTCAATGTATGCAAGTTAAAGCTACATGAATTATTTGCAACATCCTTATTTTTTTCATTTCAGGCTTTGCGGGGGGGGACATTGGGGGGGAAACTACTGGAGGCTAAGCATCCTAATTTCCCTCAGAGGTTAACGTGAATATTAGAAAGCCTAGTTCTGTTCACAGGTGTTCATGATTTCAGTGTTCCTGCAACTATCATCATTATCTCTTTCTAGGCTGGACACAGGAATGTAGTTGTTGTGTACTGAGTTCGATGTGTAGTGAAGACAGACGCTGATTGATTAGCAGCTCATACTTTACTGGCACACAACACAACAACCAACAAACGGTCGAATGACCAACTATATACAGTCCCCGGGTGCCACCCACAGGTCCTATTAGTGGGTTTGAACTTCCCGCCACAGTTCCTATAGGTGTTGACGAGGAGTCTCAGGATCCTAGTCCCCATTGTTCTTTTGGAGTCAAGCTCTGGTCACATACCGCTGGCGCCTAGTGGCGGTCATGAGAACCTGTGCTCAGTTGTATAACTGGATGGGAGGGGGGAATAAGGAGAAGTTGCCAACACCCTCTGGAAAGTTCCTGAGAAGAAGAGTTTTGATCGGATCCTAGAGAACACGATGTCATACGGTAGAAAGCAATAATAAGGGTATACAACAGAGAGAGTTATGCTAATTGGGCCAAATCATGAGAACCTGTGCTCAGTTGTATAACTGAATGGGAGGGGGGAATAAGGAGTAGTTGCCAACACCCTCTGGAAAGTTCTTGAGAAGAAGAGTTTTGATCGGATCCTAGAGAACACTTGATGTCATACGGTAGAAAGCTATAATAAGGGTATACAACAGAGAGAGTAATGCTAATGCCATGCTAGTATTAGGGCTGCCAGGTCCCCCGGAGGGGGCAGGGGGTTGCCCGCTCTAGGGTCCCCAACCCATCAGCCCGGATCCACCCCCCAAAGTGCCTGAATCGCACTGAGCATGTCATCAGGGGACGCTTTAGCGTTCGACCTTAAAACTCTATGGTACCACAGACTCCCAGTAACACACTCGCACACGGCGCTCTCCCCCCCCCCCCCCCCCGCTGGATGCCAGGTAGGGACCTGGCAACCCTAGCTAGTATGCTTAGTTATGTTATGCTTCATCATGATGGACTGCAACATATAGAACGCCTTTATGCTACTGCTTGGATTTTATGCTGCAAAAGATTTGCCATCTAATACTAAGGTATTCAATGTTTTAGATGTAAAAGTTAGCTTCTTTGTTTTCTTGTTGCTAAACTATAGAGACTGTACTGCACAGTCAGTTCCTTTAATAATTTATACCTGAGCGTGCTTCGGTGGGGAGGGCGGGGTATAAATTGAATGAATAAAATAAAAACATTTATAAGGTCCGGTTTACTTGTGTGCAGCCAACCTCGAGGACCCAGAGGTCTGGGAAATTGTTCAGGGGTTCCAAGCAGGGAACCAGGAGCAACAACCCAGGGGAACTGAGGTCTCTGACAACTCTGTGTTTTCTATTTTTTTGCCCAGGCCCTTCATATCTCTGGGTTATACCCTTTTAATCCCATTGTTTATGATATTCAGTTTGAAACTCAGCTCACCCTCACCAGTTCAGAAGAAGAGTTGGTTTTTATACCCTGCTTTTCTCTACCCTAAGAAGTCTCAAAGCGGCTTACAATCACCTTCCCTTCCCCTCCCCACAACAGGCACCTTGTGAAGTAGGTGGGGCTAAGAAAGTTCTGAGACAACTGTTGCCGGCCTAAAGTCACCCAGCGGGCTTCATGTGAAGGAGTGGGGAATCAAACATGGTTCTCCAGATCAGAGTCTGCTGCTCTTAACCACTATGCCATGCTGGCTCAATTACACGTTAGATAAAGGAACTTCAAATCAAGCAGTAATAACCGCTAAAACGAAAAATCCCCTTGTTATCATGAAACACAGCAGTGGATGTCTTTTCTGATAACAGGTGTTGTGTCCTCCAAGATCTTATGTGCTCACACAAACACTTTGGGTTTTCACAGTAGTCATGGAGAAAGTCTTGCCTACTCCATGCTGACACACAGCACCTTCAGCCTATGGTGACGCAAACACGTGCATTTGCTACCTCAAGTATGAATTATCTTTTGGTAAAAGGTAAAGGTAAAGGTTTCTTTTGCTCGAAAGCCAGTCGAATTCGACTCTAGGGTTGCGGTGCTCATCTCCATTTCAAAGCCGAAGAGCCAGCGCTGTCCGAAGACGTTTCTGTGGTCATGTGGCCAGCATGACTAAACAGCAAGGCGCACAGAATGCTGTTACCTTCCCACCAAAGTGGTACCTATTTATCTCCTTGCAATTTCTTGCTTTCAAACTGCTAGGTTGGTATGCCTGCAGTAATAAAGTGAAATACTGCAAAGTGAATGCTGTGCAGGAAGAAGAATGCACATAATAATCTTCGCCTGAACTGAAGTGAATAGAAACCAATTTGAGCAGGTTTCTCCCCTGAAGTAGTATTGTGAACAAGCCCTAAACTGTTAAGTTTGTATTACAACAAGGCACGGTTTTGTTAACACTTACTACTGAGCATATTATCTCTTGCCATGGGGAGGCCAATGCACTTCAGAGGAATTATCTCTAGTTCAAAGTATTAGAACTTGGGAAAGCACTAGGATTTAATGAGAACTAAAGTACTATTTTGTTTGAATGAAATATCATTTTTAATATTAATTGTGAAATGATTTAAAATTAGATTATTTTTTTCTAAACCTGAACCAAAACAAATTTCAGGTAATAAGAAGACAACTGAAGCAGAGGTAGTACTAGCAGCATCCATTGATCAAAATGTTGTATCATGGCATTAAAAAACAAAAGACGCCCTTATTCTTAACACAGTTTCAAAACAGAGCTGTCGACACCTGTTGGCTGTTGGTTTTTTAGTCAATGAACTTATCTTGCTGATTAAATAAAGAATAGAAATCAATAATAGAATAGAAATAATGAAGTATAGAAATCATGTTTTGAGAACAACTAGGATTGTAACAGATCCAGGTGGGCAGATGTGCTGGTCTGAAGCAATAGAACAAAGTTTGAGGCCAGTGGCATCTTTACGACCAACCAAGTTTTATTCGTGGTATGAGCTGAAGTGTGTATGCACACTTCGTGACATACAGTGAAAAGGAACTTATCAGTCCATATATATAGGCAGAGGGTGAGCAGTAAATTAGCATACAACATAAAAGAGCTAATCAGGATTGGAATGTATTTCTCTGACAGAAGACATAACACTGCACAACCATTCACTCCACCTCTTGTTTGTTACCTCCATACTTGATAGGAGATGAATGTAGCGTAACAACAGGGTCTTATTTATTTGATCTTAGTATTCCATAACCAAGAAGGATACGTTTACACATCAGTCTCCAAGTCTGACATATTTATTTGCCTCTCTGTGTTTTCCCATGGAATTGAATCCAAACAAATGATGACCATGTGAACTTAAGTTGTTATCTCTGTTTGGTTTTGCATCTGTTAAAACTTCAGGTACTACAATGACAAGACATTACAGCCCAGAAAATCTACAACAACTAACATCTCCATTATGTTAAATGGTAACCATATAAACCGTTATTCCTGGTTCTGATAAATATCTTCATTATGTTGTATGCTAATGTACTGCTCAACCTCTGCCTATGTGTACGGACTGGTAAGTTCCATTTCACTGTATCTGAAGAAGTGTCTGTGCACACAAAAGCTCATACCTTGAATAAAACTTTGTTGGTCTTAAAGGTGCCACAGGACTCGAACTCAAATAGTTCTACAGGACTGTAACAGTTTATTACAGTACAAACAAGTATATCATATCAGAGACATGAGCCAATTAACATCAACTTCAACCATACTATGAAAATTCTATAATATGAGACAGTTGTAATTCAAGTCTACCATAAAAAAATGAGTATGCTATCCATCAATTAAAGCAATGCATACTGCATTGACTATCAAGTTTCTCCTTTAACAGCTTTTCAGCCATTCAATTTAAATTTAAATTTTAAATGCACTTTAGAGATGCAAAAAGGCTAGTACTACTGAGTGCCTTCAAGATTTCACAAGTGTGAATACGAAACATCAACCACAAATTTGTTCATACACAGCATACTATTTGGCCAGTATCCAAAGAGCTGCTTGGACTCAAGAAAGAGGCTTGCACTAACGCAGTAGAATGTTTGGCTTTCTTCACCTAACCACCCACATTATATCACAATCTGCTTTTTTAAAAAACTGAGCAGAGTTTAAAAATCAATTTGCAGCATGGAAGCTGATGTTTGAGATACCAAGTCTGAAACCAGGTTGGGGGTCACAGAGTTTATTACATAGTTCTTTTGATCTTGGCTATAAACAGATGTACATTTGGAAGTGAAAAAAGATCCCTGACCTTCCAGCTTTCAAATAGAGAATTAATTGACTGTGACAAGATGTTACCAGACAAAGTGATGACAGGCTGGTGTGGATTCAGCCAAATTGCTGCTTGCACTAGAGCTCTTGCACAAGCAGAACCAGAAGAAAAAGACAGCAGTAGTCAAACACACTTGGGTTTCGGCTTGCAGATCTTGGGCAAACAATTTTGGGGCAGTATAATATACAATGAGGAACATGCTAGGGAGTGCACAAGATCTTGCACTAGCAGAACTGTGCTAAGTCCATTTATGTTTCCCTTTGTGCATCTGAATGATGAAGTAAACATTTCAAGAGATCTGTGAGGTTCTTTGTCTAGCTTCACACACTGATTCCAATGAGAACTGTTTTGTTGTAGAGCTGTCCCAGAGTCAAATGGGAAACTCTGTGATCTGCTTACCCCCGAGTCTTCATGCCAACTGGCAGACTCCTAGGGTTGAGTGGCACAGACAGAGGAATGTTAGGGAGGGGTAAAGGGCACAGTCACCACAACATATGTGCCAGAATTCCCATTTTCACCAGCAATTGCTGAACTGTCCCCACAGAGGTACAAAAATGCTTACCAGAGCACGAGCATTTGGATTTGCTCTCTTGTCCAGGAGGAGTTTGGTGACACGATAGTGGCCACAGTGTGCAGCAACATGGAGGGCAGTCAGGTAATCTAATGTGACATCATCAACAGGAGCTTTGTGCTGGAGCAGATGTTTGACACACTCCACATGGTCACCTTGGGCAGCCATGTGAAGAGGAGAGAGTCCATTCTGCACCAACAGCAAGTACAGAACTGTTAGAATCACTGAAAAAAATCAGTACTTAGAAAGAGTTGGATATACTTATTGCAGCAAATGAATTCCAAAATAAGTTAAATCATACAGAGCCCTAAAAAGGAACACTGTAAGATCAGCTGAAGGAAAAAACCCAAACTGGTATATAAACAAGGCCATTTTCAAGCATATCACTGATGTAGTTTTTTAGGGTTGCCAACTCCAGGTTGGGACCCTGGAGCCTTGAGGACAGAGCCTGGAAAGGGTGAGGTTTATAGAGGGGAAGGACCTCAGGAGGATATAATGCCAGAGAGTCAGCCCTCCAAAGTTGCCATTTTCTCCGGCGGAGCTGACTTCTGTTGTCTGGAAACCAGGTCTAATTTCAGGAGTTATCCAGGCTCCATCTGGAAGCTAACAACCCTATATCAAATTAAGTTTAACATTCTCAAAATTCGTCTGTGTTGGAACTAAAGTAGTTCGCGCAATATCTCTCAAATCTGGAAAGATGACAGGTTGGATCCAACCTAAATTTTCTGCTAATGGAAGGGGTGGAGTAATTCCTACCAATTTCCCCCTTCTAACTGTAGACTGCTGATTTGCCTCTCATACTCTTCTTGAGGATCTCCTGGCCCCCAGGAGTGGCATTTTGTGTAGATCAATAGGCTGCAACAGAAAGCAGGGAAGTTCAATTTCTTTGACAGAAGTTCACTGTAGAAGCAAAAAATTTAGTCTGGATCCAACCCAAAATATGCAAATGGAAAAGCATGTCCATGTGGCATGTTCTTCAACCCCTATGATACAAGACTAATGTGAGGATATGTACAGTATTAATCCCCCGTATGAATGTGCATGACTTAGCATTCTCTAACCACACAAAAGGGATGGGAAGATCATGAATATCTAAGTAAAATGTGAATAGGAATATGTGTTCAGATCAGATGTTCTGCTATAATCATGAGGAGTTACCACTGCCTTACCACTGCCCCCCAGCCAACATAACATGTGTGCATTCAGCTCCTATGATATCTAGGATAGCTTTTTTGGCGGGGTCCTTTTTCAGCATCTGAAAAGCTAGCTGGATCTATCCCATAGTATTTTCAGTTTTCAGAATGGAATGAAGTTAGAAACAATTGAGCCAAATTATGTACTCTTTACAGAGTACATCTTGCAGGGCACTTCTGTTAATCACACACACACAAAAATGTATTTCCTTTTCAAAGCACTGCTGTTCAGACAGTAGACCTTGAACAGCATCATCCCAGCACCACGAAAAAGGAAAAGACCACACGTTTTTATCTGGCTATCCCAGCCATAGTATACACAAGGTGCTGGGAGACTTTTGCACAGACTCATGGCTGCCAACCTGTGGGGTCCTACAAGGGTTCATTTTGCATTTCATACTCTTTAACACCTAACACTTGCTCACCTCTTTGCATTTTTTTAATAGCAGATACTTCAAGGCTGCCTTTAGATTTTTCTAATGGACCATCTCCTCCACCTGCCAATTTTGTTTATGTCTTTAAGATTTATTATCTTTTATTAACTTGCTCAGTTGCTTGCTTTGCGTGTGCTGTTAAACTGATGTGGAGCTTTCAAAATCAGGCAAACTGAAAAGTAACTTTATTAAAACACTGGTCTGAATTAAAAAAAATAATAATTGTGACAATTTACACACCTTTGTCCGTGCAAGCAGTGGGGCGCCTCGTTCCAGGAGGAGCTCTACAACCTGATCATGTCCACTTCGTGCAGCACAATGCAGCGGAGTCAGACCATCCTTAAAGCAAACAGTGGAAAAGAAGTTAAGCATGGATAGAATTCTTCCATCTATGGGACATATCTCTCATTAAACTACGCATATCTACCAGTAACCATACCTGTAATCAGAACAAAGTTTGAGTCCAGTGGCACCTTTAAGACCAATAAAGTTTTACTCAATGTATAAGCTTTTTTGTGCAAGCACACTTCCTCAGATACAGATACAGTGCTTGCACACAAAAACTTACACACTGAATAAAACTTCATTGGTCTTAAAGGTGCCACTGGACTCAAATTTTGTTCTGCTGCTTCAATCCAACATGGCTACCCACCTGAATCTGTAATTAGAACAACAGACTTTCAGTCAGTAATGTACAAAATTGCAGAAAAAACTACCCTTTACTAGAGCAGTGATGTCATACAGGGAAATACTTGTTCCATTAACTCTTGTATCATACAAAGTCTCTCCACACATGAACACTTCCAGTCAGGAAGGACCAATGCTGACAAGCAATTCAGGGAGTCAGCAGGGTAAACTTTTGTACAAACTATACTCCCTCCCATGAAACTGCTGCTGGGAAAAATGTTTCCCAGTGGCTTCCACATGGCTGGGTTAATGTACAAAAAAAGAGCTATAAGTCATTAGCAATGCAGCACAAACACAAGCACCATCTCTCCTTTTCTCTGTATATGGTTTGGAAACTGAGTCAGCTTCCACATTTCCATAATGGCAAAACGACATGGCAAAACACGGCAAATCCTTGCAATATTTCAGCTTGCTTTTGAAACAGGCTGTAGATCAACCCCATGTGAAGGGAATTCCTATTGAGTGGTAGGGGCAACACTAAAAGAGAGGGGAATTGAAAAGGATAAAAAGAAATAAACAAAAGGAAAAGTCTTCATTTCCTAAGGCTGAAAAGCTAGCAACTGTTTGGCTAACTTGCCATGACAGCACTGTCCCTCTGCAATATTCTCGTCACTGCAGAAGAACATCCTGTCCCAAAGCACTTCGCACAGGCTTCACAGCCACTGAACATGACAGTTAGCTAAAGTCGAAGCAATGAAAGATTTAGAGGGCAGAGTGCACTCCAGGTGAGTCTAGACATCCAAGAACAACAAACGGTGAGGGAAGGAGAGCAAAATGTTTGCGGTCTGAGGGGGCCAGGGCTGGAGCGAGGGCAGGGAGGCAAAGACCATACAGACAGAACTGGGGAAAATACAGACAGAACTATATTTAGCTCTTATTGAATACAGCAGAAGGAACATTGGCACAACATGGGGATGGATCTGGCATCAGGCGACCCATCTGCTGGGAGGGTAAACCGAGGAGTGGCAAGTCCCAGGATGCCACATGGGCAGCAGCCACTATGTGGCTCCCTTGCCACCTGGTGGTGAGAGCCCTCTGACAGCCCGCCCCCCAGGCATGCGGCTGAGTGGCTCCACCCCCAAGATCCCTTACAGGAGTCCCCAAACACAGCCTCCCCTTCACTGGATCTGTCCCAATGCCCAACCACCAGGGAGAGCTGGAAAAGAACTGGGGGGAAGTGGTGGCGTGGATCTGGCATCAGGCGACCCATCTGCTGGGAGGGTAAACCGAGGAGTGGCAAGTCCCAGGATGCCACATGGGCAGCAGCCACTATGTGGCTCCCTTGCCACCTGGTGGTGAGAGCCATCTGACAGCCCCCCCCCCCCAGGCATGCGGCTGAGTGGCTCCCCCCCCAAAACCCCTTACAGGAGTCCCCAAACACAGCCTCCCCTTCACTGGATCTGTCCCAATGCCCAACCACCAGGGAGAGCTGGAAAAGAACTGGGGGGAAGTGGTGGCGGCTACAAGCATGGATGGCTTCAAAAGGGAATTAGATAAGCATATGGAGCAGAGGTCCATCAGTGGCTATTAGCCACAAGGTATAGATAGGGGCTCTGGGGCAAGTGATGCTCTGTCTTCTTGGTGCTTGGGGGGGTCAACAGTGGGAGGGCTTCTAATATCCTGGCCCCACTGGTGGACCTCCTGATGGCACCTGGTATTTCTGGCCACTGTGTGACACAGAGTGTTGGACTGGATGGGCCTTTGGCCTGATCCAACATTGGCGTCACTTATGTTCTTATGGGGGGGGGACTCTGTGCCAGCTGACCAAATAGGGAGAGGCCGGGCTGGAACAGAAGCCCTGACCTCTGGGACTGCCCCCAGAGTTCCACCCCTACAGCCAGCCTACAGGAGAGCTGGTTGGCTGGCTAGGGCTTGCAGCAAAGTCCCCACCCCCTCCAGGCTCCCGAAACATGCTCAGAGCCAAGGATGCAGCCTCCCTTGGCTCGATCTGAGCCCTTCGGCCACAAATGCAGCCCTAGGCGCATCCGGGGCCAATGTTTCTGCTGCTTAAATGAGGAGGAAATACACTGCCTAATGAAAGTGCATAAGAAAAGATCAGATGGAGAAACATATCAAAATTATACTGGTATTTATTCTGTGTTTCATCATTGTAACATTTTTTCTATACATTCAGTAGTCAAGAAGGGTCAAAGACAATCCAGTGCTAGATCACAGGCTTTTGTGGTTCTCAGTGTGGCTACAGAGTTGCCTGTCTTCTCTTCCTATCTCTCTGTATAAGTGATGGCTTTTAATTCCAGAAACTCCTAATTGAAGAGTACAGTTTAAAGACAGCATAGCTTCCTTCCCTTCTTCAAAAGTTGTAAGGAAGATGACAAAGACCTAAAATAAGTCTTGCAAGGTGACCAACTAGTTCTGCACACTTATAATGTCTATGAATGAAACAACCATAATATGAAAGATGCCAAGGTCTGGTTAAACCCTGAGTGGGATTATCTTGGTGCTTGAATCCAATGGAGCATTTCTGTGGACAGAAACATTTGGGCCCACAGAGTGCAGCTTTTTTGCTGCCCCCTCCCACTGCAGGCCAAAATAACTGCTGAAATGCTGCTCCTGGGGAATAGAGAACCCTCAGAAATAGCAAAAGGGGCCTCTCCACATAAGTGATGTAGTGTATCATGTCCTGACCGCGTGGTCAGCTGGGGCGCCATGCAGTCAAGCGCAAGCGTCGTGCTTCGCTCCAAATAACAAAGGATGGTGCGGATCCTAGCCCGCACCAATTAGAGGGCTAGGCTCTGGGCCGAGGGCTTATGGGACTCTCGGCCACTAGTTAGGACCTATTGGGAAGTCGGGTGTATGTTCTGAGTGGTGGATTCACGGGGATATAAACCGGGCCTGCGAGCCGCCTAAAGTTGTCTTGTTCTGTGCTAATAAAGTACGCTAAGCTGAAATCACTCTTCCGTCTTTGTACTTTTCAAGTGTTCTGTTGTATCCAAGCAGTACACTGCCCTAACCTCTCTCCATGATTTGTGGCTAGTAAGGAGCTGAGAGATCTGTCAGTTCCTGCCAAGGTTCCAGGCAGTTCAATGGCCAGGTTCTATTTTCTGTCTTCAACCAGGAAGCAAGAGCAGTAAAAGTACCATGACAAATCCCTGCATCCCAGTAGGCTTTATGGAGAGCAGACTGCTCAGTAAATGACTTGAGCATATGCCAGCTGTCCTGAACATTTGGGGACCTAGGAATGGAGAGCTCAGAGAAGTTGGAAATCCACAGACTGCTCCAGTTTCTACTCAGGAAACACACAATCAAAAGGCAACTCTGAGAGACAAAAGGTTCTTTATCTTCTGCTCTATCAATCAGTAATGTTCAGGGCTTAATTTGAATTCATTAAAGTGGCTTGTCCATAACTATATTTTACTGTGTTATGCAGAAAACTAAGCCTTTTCTTCGGCTAGATTTCCCTTCTTTATTTTATTTAGTAACAGCCGTTGTTTTCAGATGTCTTCTGCTTTTTCTCGATACCAGATTATGTGTGGCTAAGGATCACCCCACAGTAATCAAGGAGAAGCACATGTTTCTGTGGCACAGAAATATCATAACATTGTACACATGCTTACAGACTATATTTTCTGTATTAAGTACAAGTTCAGTTCATCTGAAACTCCACTGGGATGTGGGGTGTTGACTGAGAGTGGGGAAACGATGAACTGTAGGAACCTTAAGCATCTCCTCCCCATTTTCACTTCTTTGCTCCAGGAACAACTTTCCATATTCAAAGAGTGGGATCAGATTACGATTACAAACACATCTGCATACTTTTCGGCCTCCAGAGTAGGAAGCTGTGTTGCATTCAAAAGAGCAGGAGGAATCACTGGGAAATGAAGGAGTTAAGTCCAGGAGCTTTCTGTTCCCTTTTCCAATTGTCAAATGCTGAAACTTGGTGCAATCCTGGTACTGCATACTAATCCTGGTACTGCATACTAATGCAAATTCAGTGAGACAGCAGAATTTTCTTTGAAAACAGACTTCTTTATTACCCTTAGCAACAGAAAGCATATGGACAAAGCAAAGGCAAAAGAAAAGGACACTGAAACCAAATAAAAGCCTGATATGGGAACATCACATAATTGCATGATAGAGACGAACAATACCAAAGCTCTGGAATCTCCCCCACTGTAAATTGTACATGGAAATCAGCAGAGTGTCCTTGAGGATGCAAAAGGAAGGAATTATGATGTTTAACCCATGCAAATTAGAAAGCCAGAGCTTTGGGATGCTCTGCAGATTTTGTGTGGGTGGCTGTATGCTGGAAGTTTTGAGCGATGCTATCAGCTGACTAGGATGATAAACCAAACAATGAAAGCCTTTTAAAACTAGATTCTTTGCAAGAAACTGGAGGTGGTCCTGCACAGATCCTTTTCATCCAGGACTGAACTATGTCTAGCTGGCTAAGCAATGTTTTGAGTTCAGAAGATGCAAAATATAATGTTTAGAAAGTATGACTTGTACAAAGACAACAGGCATTCAAGCTTGGGTGGGATGGATGCCTGAACTGAGATTACAAAACAGTTAGGTTTGTGACCATGTCTTAGAGCTGAAACTGAATGAGTCAAAAAGGGCATTTGCTTGATATCATCTATGTATAAATAATGGGGCTGGGTTTTTTGGTGTTTTTTTCCCTTGCAGTATGCAACTATCTGATGCGCGTTTTCCAACACTAGTGTTGCAAAAATCTGCCTTGAGCAATGCTGCATCCATTTCTCCAAGTAAGCAGCATGTTGAAGATAGCAACCTGCCTAATACTGAGCCAGTGGGTTGGCTCCTATGGAGGTATTCCATCCATACAACGTCACATTCTCACTTCCCCCTCCTGCTGCAGGCTGAAATGTTCTCCAAAACGCTACTCCTGAGCACCTGCCCCCCACACCAGGATCTAGAGATCTGCAACAGGAAGGGGAAGTCAGTGAAAACTGCACCCTCCCCCCTCCTTCCTACAGAAAACTTTATGGCATCGAAGCCATCACTGTCTACTCTGATTGGCAGTGGCTTGCTACATCCTCAGGTGGAGATATTGTGTGGCCAACCTACATTCAATAACTGTGGAAACCATCTCTACAAGACAGGATTGGGCATGTTCCAGGACAAAGTGAGATACAATATGTCTGAACAGGGCCATACAGAAACTGAGCATTTGCTGTACAATATTCTAAGAATCTTGTGCACTACACAGAAGTTCTTTGATGGCCAAATCGGAAAGGAAAGGGCTTTTGGCCTATCTTGGCATTGAATAAATGTTTGAGATGTCTTTGAAAAAAAGGTGACTGTTATGAGGAATGTAATGAAGTTATGAAGGAAGTACAAATTAGTGTGCAACTTCCTGAACAGACCTCACTGTAATAAGGATTCCTGTATCTTGATGACTGGATTTTTGGGTCCTACTGAAACAAACGAAAAGAGAAGAGGATACATGATAACATACATTCAGGGAAAAGAAACACTCACCCTGGTTTTGGCATCGATCTGCCCTCCACGATCCAACAAGAGCTTCACCATGTTTGTGTTGCCCCTTTTGGAAGCCACATGCAGTGGAGTGATTCCATTCTACACCATGAAAAGAACAAACAAAGAGCATGATGGGTTCGAAGAGGTTCAATGGGGATGGCTGTGCGTTTGGACATGATACAGTATAAAAGATAAGCACAGATGTATCGCAGCATACAGAAAACAGTGAGAACTGCCCTATCTTGGTGAAGGTTTACATTGCCATGATTTGTAAACGCTGTAAAGAGGAATTTCAATAGATCTATATATACAATGGTGGAAAATTAAAAACCTGATTTGTGTTATACTTAATATTTTCACTTAGAAAATCCTTAAGTGGTGGTACATTTCACCAAGGTTAATTAAATTGCTCAGAAATTCCAGCACCTAGTTGCTGGAATTAATAATTTTCAGTGCAATAATTCATGATCAAGTATCTGCAGATGTATGCAAATAAACCTCATGAAAGCAATGTGCATACATAATGTGAAGTATGCAACCTTTTAGGGCTCTGGGGAGGAGAATCCTCACTAGTGTGTAAAGCAACAAGAAAGAAACAATCACCAGAACACCAAACATTACAATCGCACTTACGAAGACAAAATGCACACATTCATGGCACATTAGTTCAGACACAATGAAACCTATTAGCATAACTACATGGAGTGTTAAAATGCCCTCATTAGGTGAGAAGATCTTGTCTCATCTTTCATTTGTCAACAAGCATTTTGGATGGAGATTAGGTCTCTCAGTAGGAAACAGGAAGAGAAGATAATAAACAGCTGAAATATATAAAT